TCCTCTCCACTCTCTCCGCTCGACCCCCACCTCCCTCTCCCACTCACCTTCGCACGCTCCTACCCTCTCGTCTCCCGGCACCCTCCCTCCTCTCCTCTCTTCCTCTCATTTCCATCCTCTCTCGTCCTCTCCTCTCTCTCCCAGCTCATAATCAACCTCTCCTCTGCTTCCCTCCTCCTCTCTCCTCCTGCTCTCTCCTCGTCCCCTCTCTCTCTCTCTCTCTCTCTCATCTCTCTCTCTCGTCTCTCTTCGTTCTCTCTCTCTACTATCTCTCTCTCATCAATTATCTCCACTTTCCCTTTTCTTTCTCATCTCTTTGGTGCTCATTCGTTTTTCGTGTCTTTATTTGCCTCTCTCTCTCTCGTCTCTGCTCTCCCTCCATCTCTCAATCCTCTCTCCTCTCTCTCTCTCTCTGTCCCCCGGGTGATCCTCTCCCTCTCTCATCAATATCTCTCTCTCTCTCTCCTCCCCCTCTGGTTCAAATGCCAATATTGCTTTCATTTTAGTTATACTCTCCGTACAACTACAGGTTTATAAGTTTACAAGAGAACTACAGGTTTACAAGTTTTGGTTTATCCCGGATGGTCCCACATCTTTTTTTATCATACCTTTTACATATCGACCTATTGATCTAATTAAATTCATTCTTTTCGGTGCAATGCAACTTGTCACTAAATGACACCTTCTTCATTAGTATCCTTTTATGGCACAGCACCGTCCCGACTTAGATAATTATTCTGAACCACACTGAAAAAGGAATCTCATTTATCCACACTCTTTGTTAAGAATACGACATCCAGTATATATATATATATATATATATATATATATAATATATATATATATATAATATATATATAATATAACATAACACATACACACGAGAGATCACCACACACACACACACACACACACACACACATTAACAACACAATATATATATATATATATAAATATAATATATATATATATATATAATTAGTGTTACACATAGACGGCACGCAAGTGCTTAACCACTAATGACCCAATGCTAATTCTTGTTAGTACAACATTAACAACATAAACAATCACAATTATCAATCACAACACTAACACCATTTTCGTTCTCGTTCACACTTTTCTACATTCGTCAACACGCATACGGTTCACCATCTCCATTAACAAAACTTTAAAAGAAATTCACGAAAACTCCAGGAATGGCTGAACCAGGTGAGATCACGTAGGCATACTAATTGGCTCCTTACCGGGCCGAACACCTGTGGAGGAGTTATCTATGTGCAAACAATTTCGCACATAACAAAAAAAAAAAAAATAATGTCGACAGCAGCCATTAGCCATTCGCGACAGAAATCTAGAAAAAAATATATATACAGTAAATCAACAGCGAAAAAGGAGACAAACAGTCCTCTTAAACAATCCTAATGACCCAAACTGGTGTTAGCCAAACTAGGCAATTATTCTAACAAACGTCATCCCTATAGAACACGAAAACCCTCCGAGAGAGAGAGAGAGAGAGAGAGAGAGAGAGAGAGAGAGAGAGAGAGAGAGGAGAGAGAGAGAGAGAGAGAGAGAAGAGAGAGAGAGAGAAGAGGAGAGATGAGAGAGAGAGGAGGAGAGAGAGAGAGAGAGAGAGAGAGAGAGAGAGAGAGAGAGAGAGAGAGAGAGAGAGAAGAGAGAGAGAGAGAGAGAGAGAGAGAGAGAGAGAGAGAGAGAGAGAGAGAGAGAGAGAGAGAGAGAGGAGAGAAAAGAAAGAGAAGAGAAAGAGAGAGAGAGAGAGAGAGAGAGAGAAGAGAAAGAGAAGAGAAAGAGAAAGAAAGAAAGAGAACGAGAGAGCGAGAAGAGCGATCCCAACCCAACCAACCCCACCCAAACGTCCCCCCACCGGCCACGACAACCTACACCCTACACACCCACGATACACTCCACGCACCGACACCCAACCCCACGAAATATTCTCCTGTCAACAACACGAAGTCCTTGCTATTTGTCCTGCGTTATTATGCAGACCGGGCTTTCGTCCCACGCATCAGGATATCATAACCGTGCATTTGCCATCTCATCAACATATTCCGAATTCATTCCTTATTTCCCCCTCCCCTCCTTCCCTTCCCCCACTTCCCCCACCCACACCCACCCCCCACCCCATTCCCACCAATGTGTTCTAAAATGCATCCTTCATATCAGGTGGGGAGCCAAGGGACATTTTCTCTAAAAAAAAAAAAAAAAAGAGTCAAATAACGATATAAAAAACCGTTTATTGATTCTAAAAAAAATAATAATAATTGGAAATGCATCAGCCTGATCAAATGACAAATTTTGGATTTTCCTTTCTCCTCAATCCACAATGTTGTTAATTTTTCCCCCTTTGTAAAAAAAAAAAAAATACATTAACTACTGTATTTCTTCGGATGTAAATATACCTCCGATAGTTTCTTGATTCAGTTATTAACCCTTTTAATTAAAAAACATCAAGCTTAAATACTTTTTTATGAGCTTTATTTTTTCACCATATAAACCACGTAAATCTCCGCCAGTCCCGTTGTATTTGGATCAAGCAAAACTAGAAGGGCCACAGACCAGCCAGGTAGGGAAACTTGGCCTGTCTTAGTTTTTCGTTGGATAAGTCATTACCGTAAGTTCTCTCTCCACTCCGTCTCTCACCTCTCTCCTCTCTCTCCTCTCCTCTCTCTCCTCCTCCCGCTTTCTCCTCTCTTCTCCTCTCTCTCCTCTCTTCCTCTCTCTCTCGTCCTTCCATCCTCTCTCTCTCCTCTCCCTCTCAACTCTCGTCTCATCTCTTCTGCTCCTCCTCTCCTCGTTCGCTCTCCTTCTCTCCTCTCTTCTCTCATCTCTCTTCTGTCTCTCATCATCCTCTTTCTCCTCGTCTTCTCTCTCTTCTTTTATTTCTCTATTTTTTTTCTGTTTCTCTCTTCTTCTCTTTTCCTCTTCTCTCTCTTCTGTTTCTCTCTCTCTCTCTCTCATCTCTCCCTCTCTCTACTCCACTCTCCTCCATCATCTCTCTCCCTTTATCTCTTCTCTCTCTCTCCTCGCTCTTTCGTTCCTCTCTCTCTATCTTTCTCTCTTCCTCTCTCTCATCCTTCCTCTTTCTCTCTCTCTCTTTCTCTATCTCTCTTTCTCTCTC